CTGAGTAACCCTAGTTCTTACAGGAGTGTGTACAGGACCTTCTGGTAGTTACACCAACCTGCTTGTCTTAGGTCACAGTCCAGTGTTTTGGGTGGTGCCCTAAAGACAGAAGGCTGAGGATGGTTGAGGGTTTTGAAGTTTTATACCTCCAGAGCAGCTGTCAGTGTCCCAGAAATATTAGGGCTCTGGTTTGTTTAATTATTTTTACAGCCCAATCTTCCGTTTTTCCTTCTATTTCTTTTCCCTGTGTAGTTCTTGGTCCGATGTGAGCATCGGTAGCGGTAATAATCCTTGGTGAGTTTTCTTATGGTCAGTGACCAAAGTTGGTAAGTCATTGTAACTCCTGTTTAGAGCTTTTATCAGACTGCAGGGGCAGTCTGGTTTGGTGTAACCGAGATGTCACCTGGAGCCCCTTGAGTCCGGAGAGTGCCTGAAGGTCCCCCTCCCCACTTTACTCCCTACTAACAGGGCTGATCATATGATCTAAACTCAAAACAGCTGTTTTCTGAGATAGTGCATTCACATCAGGTGGACCAGATGTGAAACTCATACTCTTTTTCCAGGTTCCAGAAGTGCTGTGAATGGTGTTGGGTGGGGGGTGCAGGATAAGGCTGAAAAAACAGTTCCCAGGGTGATAGAAACCATGGTAGAAATCCTGTAGACTCTGTTCACCGACCCCCACCCCCTCCCCTTGGCCCATCCCTTCGGGCCACTCCTGGCCCCCACTGTGTTCCAGACCCACTGTTGACATTCTTACACAAAGGGGCCTTTGTTTCGCTGGAGCTATCTTTTTTTTAAAGGGCAGATGACCTCCCATCTTGGTCCCATATCTGCAGGTTGCCACCACAGTTCACCTTAGGGAAACGTCCTAAGCCTGGGCACCTTACCTCTGAAGCCCACGCTCTGCCCAGGCAGGATCTGAACAGACTGAGCAGTGTAGCCTCTTATAAGAGTGTGTGAAGAATTCGGTTAAAATTTCCTCAGAGTGGTGTGAGTAACTTGTGTGATGGTGACTGGATGGTCGGTTTTAACTGGAAGCTGTGAGGGCTCTGCTATTGAAAAGCAGGAGAGCTGACAAGAATAATAGGAAGGCAGAGGGGGCGAGGTCTTTTCCCGTGTTCTAGGGTTTCTTGAGCCTGGCCCTGTGCTAACAGCCACCTCCTCCCTGCCCTCAGGGAGTGCAGGTGGAAGAGGAGGTGGAGTGGGGGTTTTGGAGGCTTGTGGGGGGGAGGTCATGAGATGGAGGGCATGAGGAATGTCCTCATGGTGGAGCTCACAGTGAGTAGGTTCCTGAAAGCTGTGTTAGAACTGGCTGAGTGAAGAAGGGAAGGGATGGGTGATCCAGGCTGGGAAGGGTGCCAGGTGAAGGGCAGGGAGAGGCTGAAAGAGCAGCCAGGAAAGGACTGCTGTTGGTGGGGGCGGGGGTGAATGTTGTTTTTTTTTTTTTTGAGGTACGTGGGCCTCTCACTGTTGTGGCCTCTCCTGTTGCGGAGCATAGGCTCCGGATGTGCAGGCTCAGCGGCCATGGTTCACGGGCCTAGTCGCTCCGCGGCATGTGGGATCTTCCTGGACCAGGGCACGAACCCGTGCCCCCTGCATGGGCAGGCGGACTCTCAACCACTGCGCCACCAGGGAAGCCCTCTCTTAGCTTTTACTTGTCTGTAAAGCTTTGATTTCTCCATTGAATCTGAATGAGATCCTTACCTGGTAGAGTAATCTTGGTTGTAGATTCTTCCCTTTTATCACTTTAAATATGTTATGCCCCTCCCTTCTGGCTTGTAGGGTTTCTGCTGAGAAATCAGCTCTTAACCTTATGGGAGTTCCCTTGTATGTTACTTGTTGTTTGTCCCTTGTTGCTTTCAATAATTTTTTCTTTGTCTTTAATTTTTGTCAGTTTGATTGCTATGTGTCTCGGCATGTTTTTCCTTGGGTTTATCCTGCCTGGGTCTCTCTGAGATTCCTGGACTTGGGTGGCTCCTTCCTTTCCCATGATAGGGAAGTTTTCAACTATAATCTCTTCAAATATTTTCTCGGGTCCTTTCTCTCTCTCTTCTCCTTCTGGGACCCCTATACTGCGAATGTTGTTGTGTTTAATGTTGTCCCAGAGGTCTCTTAGGCTGTCTTCATTTCTTTTCCTTCTTTTTTCTTTATTCTGTTTCACAGCAATGAATTCCACCATTCTGTTTTCCAGGTCACTTATCCGTTCTTCTGCCTCAGTTATTCAGTGATTGATTCCTTGTAGTGTATTTTTCATTTTAGTTATTGTATTGTCCATGTCTTGTTTGTTTAGTCTTTAATGCTTCTAGGTCTTTGTTAAACATTTCTTGCATCTTCTCGATCTTTGCCTCCATGCTTTTTCTGAGATCCTGGATCATTTTCACTATCATTATTCTGAATTCTTTTTCTGGAAGGTTGCGTATCTCCACTTCATTTAGTTGTTTTTCTGGGGTGTTATCTTGTTCCTTAATCTGGTACATAGCCCTCTGCCTTTTCATCTTGTCTGTCTTTCTGTGAATGAGGTTTTTGTTCCACAGGCTGCAGGATTGTAGTTTTTGTTGCTTCTGCTGTCTGCCCTCTGCTGGATGAGGCTATCTGGGCAGTCCCATTAATGTGTCTTCTCCTGGCAAACCTCCTCTGGCCTCTCCTTGTCCTCCTGGTTTCTTTTGCACCTGGCTCATATGCCCTAGTTACCACAGCTGAGCTGCCTGCCAGCAGCCACCCCCGGATAGGAGTTGGTGGCTGGGTTTATTCATCGCTGTATTCCAGGGTAGGAGCCATACTGATAGGTGAATGAAGTGGGGAGATGTGCAGTCCTGGGTTCTTTTTTAAAGCTGGATTGGGTGCAGTGTTGCACAGCACTTTAGGGCTTGAGCAAAGGGGTGGAGCTGTTCAGTGGGCGGTACATTTGGAGAGACTGCAAGGCTGGTGCTGGCAGAACAAGTCAGTGATACCCACCCACAGTCCTTGAGCCTTTAAAACTGCACACTGGTCCAAGTGCTCGTTGCATTAACTCCTGTAATCCTCACACACCCATTGAGATGGGTGCTGTCTTGTTCTATAGATAAGGAAGTAAGGCACAGAGAAGTTCAGTGTTTCGCCCGAGGTCACAAGTAGGGGTTATGGAGGCCTGACCCCCTGTCCAAGCTGTCTGGCTCTGGAGAAGTGCTCTAACTGTAAGGCCATCTTGCCTCCACAGGCAGTGCTTAGGAGTTAGGACGTGATGGGGAACCAGGGAAAGGCTGTGGGGGTCGGCTGTATGTTTTAGAGAAATGCGTTGGCAGTAGGGTAGAAGGGTACCAGGAGATGGGCAGTCGTTTGGAGGAGGTAGCGGCACTGGAGGTGAGAAGAAAGATGGGTTTGAGAGTGGTCCTGCATTAATTTCGCTCAGATAACGACGAGTTCTCCCCAGCTCCGAGGCCATTGTCCTAGGCCATTGGGTTCCCGTGCTGTAGCCTCTGGAGCAGAACCGTCAGAATTGCCTAGGAGTCCAGAGTTTTGAGCCCCATCCCAGACCTGCTGAATCAGAATCTAGTTTAACAAGCCCTCCAGGTGAGCCCGACGTCCAAGCCACTATCGCCCAGGACCGGGTGACCACAGAGTCTTCTCCTTGCTTTGCCTCTCCTCTGGTCCCTCAGCCTTGCCCTGAGCTCAGGCCCTCCCCTACTAGAAGCCCTTCTACACGGATTACACCCTGACTCCTGGCTTCACGTTTTTGCTTCTCATTTGCTGCTTTATCCACTGCATCCCTGAACACTGATTTATCGTGGTTAGTTGTCACCTTCCGGTGGGCCCTGAGTGAATGCAAGGGCCTTTCATTCTCCAGTAGCCTCTGCATCTGCTCTCTTTTCTGCTCTTCCTGGAACCTGCTTGGCTTCCCAATTCAGAGTTTCTAGGTTTTTGTCTACTCGTGTTGCCAGTGACAGAAGTCTCAGCTGGGCACACAGGGTGGATCAGGGTTGGTGGCTCTCGTCTGCTCCCCTAAATTATCAGCTCCTCCAGAGAGCAGCAGTTCCCAGTCATTGGGAAGAGGCAGAGGCTCTGGGCTCTGTGCTGGCCTAGGAAGCTCTGCTCCTTCCTGGTTGCTCGGTGTTGGTGAGGCCACGTGTAAGCAGTTCTGATTCTCCTGTCTTTTCCCAGAAGCCAGTACAGGACTGTGCAGGAGGGTTTTGTTTATTGTTTGTTTGTGGGGTGCAGGGGTTTCCATTTGTTTACTGATCTTCTCCTCATTACTCCAGAGAGGATTCAAGATGGGAGGGGGCTTCAGCATCACGCACCCTCCCAGTTGGCAGGGATCCTCAGAGCATGTGCAGTAAGGCACGGTCACTGTATCTTGGGAAGCTATGAGCTGAAGGCTGTGAGCTCTGGGTCCCCAGCCTCGCATGGTCAAAGTAATGGCACAGTAGCTGCTTTCCTAAGCCTGAGTGAGGCAAGCCGCGTCTGCACAGATTGTGCAAGAGGGTTTAGGATTTCTCCTTTCATAATTGAGAGACCAGGGGTCTGTCCCCTCTGCCTGCTCCCCCAGTGGGTCACAGAACATCACCATTCTGGCTGCCTGGGTTTAACCAGAGCGAATCATGCAATGACCAGCAGCTGGCTGGGGCCCTGCCGTTTACACTGTCTCCTAGCACAGCCTGGTGGGGGGGGGGGGCACAAGCTTGGACAAAGGCCAGAGCCCATCTTTGAACTGGGCCTCACAGGGGCAAGTCCAGACAGGCAGGGAGGGGCCCATGGGCTGAGGAGAATCTGCGGGGGTTTCAACGGCCAGAAAGGAGGGCAAGAGGTGGCATAATGTTTCCAACTGCAGGCTTTGGGGTCAGGTAGTCCTGTATTTTACAAGAATGCTTACTTCCTAAGAAGAACATGGATTAAGGACATAAATTGCATTAAGTGTTCAGCAAAGCACGCAGCTGACAGAAAGGACCGGTAAATGATTGAACTGAGCTTTGCTGTTGATGATGCAGGGGGCAGCATTTATCAACTTGCTAATCTTTGTTTTTCAGGGCTTGAAGATACTGGAAGTCTATTTGGCTACAAATTCCTGTGCTAGCCAGAGGATGAGTAATGAGCAGGCATGAGAGGTTGAGGCATTCAGCTTCCCTGCAAATCTTGGTATAGATCACGTTCTTTTCTATAGGTTGGAACCACAGAGCACAATGAGTACGGTGAGTTTTGTAAGTTCCTGAATTTTATTTTTTCAGGCTAAACAATTACTTCATTCCTTGCGTACCTTAATGAGAGTACCATAGAGGTGTTTCTGAGTAACCCTAGTTCTTACAGGAGTGTGTACAGGACCTTCTGGTAGTTACACCAACCTGCTTGTCTTAGGTCACAGTCCAGTGTTTTGGGTGGTGCCCTAAAGACAGAAGGCTGAGGATGGTTGAGGGTTTTGAAGTTTTATACCTCCAGAGCAGCTGTCAGTGTCCCAGAAATATTAGGGCTCTGGTTTGTTTAATTATTTTTACAGCCCAATCTTCCGTTTTTCCTTCTATTTCTTTTCCCTGTGTAGTTCTTGGTCCGATGTGAGCATCGGTAGCGGTAATAATCCTTGGTGAGTTTTCTTATGGTCAGTGACCAAAGTTGGTAAGTCATTGTAACTCCTGTTTAGAGCTTTTATCAGACTGCAGGGGCAGTCTGGTTTGGTGTAACCGAGATGTCACCTGGAGCCCCTTGAGTCCGGAGAGTGCCTGAAGGTCCCCCTCCCCACTTTACTCCCTACTAACAGGGCTGATCATATGATCTAAACTCAAAACAGCTGTTTTCTGAGATAGTGCATTCACATCAGGTGGACCAGATGTGAAACTCATACTCTTTTTCCAGGTTCCAGAAGTGCTGTGAATGGTGTTGGGTGGGGGGTGCAGGATAAGGCTGAAAAAACAGTTCCCAGGGTGATAGAAACCATGGTAGAAATCCTGTAGACTCTGTTCACCGACCCCCACCCCCTCCCCTTGGCCCATCCCTTCGGGCCACTCCTGGCCCCCACTGTGTTCCAGACCCACTGTTGACATTCTTACACAAAGGGGCCTTTGTTTCGCTGGAGCTATCTTTTTTTTAAAGGGCAGATGACCTCCCATCTTGGTCCCATATCTGCAGGTTGCCACCACAGTTCACCTTAGGGAAACGTCCTAAGCCTGGGCACCTTACCTCTGAAGCCCACGCTCTGCCCAGGCAGGATCTGAACAGACTGAGCAGTGTAGCCTCTTATAAGAGTGTGTGAAGAATTCGGTTAAAATTTCCTCAGAGTGGTGTGAGTAACTTGTGTGATGGTGACTGGATGGTCGGTTTTAACTGGAAGCTGTGAGGGCTCTGCTATTGAAAAGCAGGAGAGCTGACAAGAATAATAGGAAGGCAGAGGGGGCGAGGTCTTTTCCCGTGTTCTAGGGTTTCTTGAGCCTGGCCCTGTGCTAACAGCCACCTCCTCCCTGCCCTCAGGGAGTGCAGGTGGAAGAGGAGGTGGAGTGGGGGTTTTGGAGGCTTGTGGGGGGGAGGTCATGAGATGGAGGGCATGAGGAATGTCCTCATGGTGGAGCTCACAGTGAGTAGGTTCCTGAAAGCTGTGTTAGAACTGGCTGAGTGAAGAAGGGAAGGGATGGGTGATCCAGGCTGGGAAGGGTGCCAGGTGAAGGGCAGGGAGAGGCTGAAAGAGCAGCCAGGAAAGGACTGCTGTTGGTGGGGGCGGGGGTGAATGTTGGCAGGACACATGACTACAGTGACCACGACGGGGCTTTTAGGCTTCAGCACCTGGACTTTGGCCAGGACCTATGACTGCTTCTTAACCTCCCTCAGTGGAAAAGCTACACAGGTAGGGGCATGAAGGGTTCTGTTTAGCAGTGTCTGTTAAGACAGATTTGGTCCTTTTCAGAGGATGGAAGATACAAGGGCAACTTCAAAGAGAATGGGGTAAAAGTTAAGGAGCCCTAAGTAACCTGGTAGCTGCTGGGGAAACTCATATAAACACCAGGTAGTGGACTCAGGCCTGGGTGCCAGCTCCCTGGAGGGACAGAGCAGCTCCTCGCTGGACCGTTCAGAATAGCTGCTGTCACTTGCCTCTGGGACTTCCTGGGGATGCTTCCCTGTTCCTTAGATCCGTGGGATTTGCTCAACCCAGCTACATTTCTGAAACTTCTCAAGCTGCCATTTGATAAGAGAGTCAGAACACAAACAGAATCAGGCTTCTCTCTGTTGCCAGAGAGTTGGGCTGGGTGATGGATGTTCCTGAGTCTTGTGCAAATCTCATGGACACTTGCCTGCCCTCCAGCGTTTCCAGGGATAGGATGCCTAGTAAGGCGTATAAGGAGCTAGGGTAGTAATGCTATCTTCCGACAGCACTCGGTACTGTACATACGGTATATGCCGCCTCATCCTTCGGCGAGCTCTGCAAGTCTGGTACCGGTGAGGAAATTCAGACTTAGTAGTGAAGTAACTGCCCCACATCGCCCAGCGTGAAGCAGAGCAGGCCCGGTGCCAGTGAGGAGCGGGACAGGCCAGGGGAGAGAAGAAACACCGAGACACAGGGAGCCAGGTTTGGGTGGGGCCGTACAGCGTGGGAGTGACCCCCTGGCTGCGGGTCACTTGGGAGGTTCTGTCTCTTGAGGAAGATGGCAGGGGGCGGGTTCTCAACTCATCTTTCAGGGCCAGCCAGGCCCCAGCCAGGCCAGAAATGCTGGAGCGTATTGGACGTGGAAGAAAGGCTGGTTCAGGGGGTCTGGGCTGCAGATAGGCTGATTAACAGCTCAGACCTTCCAGAAGGCATGTCTCTTGGGTAACCCCTGGGAACAGCCTTTTAAAGTCTTTGGTTCTTAGAGTACCTACTGTACAGCACAGGGAACTCTCCTCAGCACTCTGTAATGATCTTTATGGATGTATGTATATGTGTAACTAATTCACTTTGCTGTATAGCGGAAACTGCACAACATTGTAAATCAACTACGATGAAAAAAATTTTTTTTTTTAAAGTTCTCATCACAAGAAAAAAAATAAAACTTTGGGGCTTCCCTGGTGGCGCAGTGGTTGAGAGTCCGCCTGCCGATGCAGGGGACACGGGTTCGTGCCCCGGTCCGGGAAGATCCCACATGCCGCGGAGCGGCTGGGCCCGTGAGCCATGGCCACTGAGCCTGCGCGTCCGGAGCCTGTGCTCCCGCAACGGGAGAGGCCACAACACTGAGAGGCCCACGTACCGGAAAAAATAAACAAATAAATAAAACTTTGGTTCTTGGAGCTGTGGCGGGTGATTATTGGGGTATAAACTACAACTTGATAGTATCCTAAAAGGTTAGAGGCCACAAACCTTTCCCAAAGAAAGACCCACTTTTCACAGTGAATAGAAACTTGGGAAACTGAAGGGCTTTGGGCTGAAAAACAGAAGGGGCTCAGTAAGGCCAAATACAAACCCAAGGAAAATAGGTCTGTAACTTTAGGTTAAAAGAAGGGGTTTCTGGCCAAATCCCAACCTGGACCAGAGGCTTCCATAGAGTTAGGTGTCATATACTTTAGGCAGACCAACAGTCTTTATAACAGAAATTTTACTTTATAGAATTTGTATTCACTATATGTTCTGGATGATTTCTCTCTATAAACATTCAGTGTTCTAGAATCTCAAGTTTTGAAAGGACCCCGACCTCAGGTCTGCTCACTGGCCTCCTATTCTTTTTTTTTTTTTTGCGGTACGTGGGCCTCCCACTGTCGTGGCCTCTCCCCCTGCCGGACGCGCAAGCTCAGCGGCCATGGCTCCGCATTCAGCGGCCACGGCTCACGGGCCCAGCCGCTCCGCGGCATGTGGGATCTTCCCGGACCGGGGCACGAACCCTTGTGCCCTGCATCGGCAGGTGGACTCTCAACCACTGCGCCACCAGGGAAGCCCCTATTCTTCTTAATGAGTTGATCTTTTTATTCTTCTGGCTGAAATCTTACTGGTCAGGAGCTTATGTAACTGTTTCTTTTTCCCCCGATACCCTCAGAGAAAGCGTCGTGGAGGAACAGTAAATTCTAGACAAGCCCAGAAGCGAACTCGAGAAGCATCCTCCCCCCCTGAGATGGCCCTGGAGGCAGAACCCATAGAACTTGTGGAAAGCGGTAAGATTGCCAGTGACACTGGGCATGAGTGAGCATATATGCCCAACATGCCACCTACCAGCCACGGGCCTTGTGCAAGTTACACAACCTGTAACTCAGCCTTAAGTTTCCTCATCTGAAACGGGGGATAATGCTGTGCATATATATGCGGTAGCTGCTGTGTCGAGTTGTCATAGCACTGAAGTGAGTCAATGACACAGAACACTTAGAACAGCGCTTGTCACGTAACACTATACGAGGTTTAGCTTATATCTGTATTTATAAGACCAATAGTCTCAGACTCGCCTACCGTTCACAACTTAAAAAAGCTAAGGTGAGCAAGAGCTGCCCCCTTGGTTGCCCTGAGACTCCACAGGTTTAGAAACGGCCACTCAGCTGGGCTCACTATCCAGCCTTTCGGGGGTGTGCAGCATGGAGTGGAGACTGCCGTGGGTCCACCTTTTCTCTTTGAAACTGTGCCTCAACTTACTTGGCCTCGGGAAGTACTCAACTTTCTTCCTCTCTCCTTCATTAAGACAAAAAATTGCCCCAGCAGGCAGACTTGTTGGCAGAGCTGGGTGTGTTGGGAGTTTGGTGCAGGCAGAGGCCAGATTGGCTTTTTCCCCTTCTTCCTGCCTCAGGGGAGTGGCAGATGGCCTGAATCAAGTCCCTCAGCTCTGCATGTAGTAAGATTGTTTTTATAATTATGATGCCTGAAAACTGACATTTGAAGAGAAGCAAGCAGCTTGTCTGTAGATTTCATGGGCCCTTCAGGGGAGTGAAGTTTTCTGTATTGTCTCTGTGGTCTCTGAGCTTCACTTCTAACATAAATTCACAGCCCTGGGCCATCCTCCCCTCCAACCCAAAGCTGATGCCCTGGTGTCTGAATTCTGCCACCCTGCAGGAGAGGCAGGTGCAGGAGGCTCCTCATTTGGGACCCTGAACCCACAAGTGGAATCTCCAACCTGGCCAAGATCCACTGCTTTCCACTGCAGCACTGCTCGTCCTCAGTCAGCCTTACACCCGTGTGCAGGGCTGTATGCACAAGCTGCCCGTTGGAATACCGTTTTTATTTGTAGGAGCCAAAAATTGTGTCCATCAGAAAGAGAGCGGTTCTGTAAATTATGGTATA